CGCTTAAAATGCTTCGAGCATTTCTTTATTTGCTTTGTAATTACTTGAAAGCAAGTATGGGTATTCTGTCTTTTTAAAGTGCTTGGAATAAATGATCATGTTCCTTGTAACGGCTTTAAAACGCGAACCCATTCCATATTTGTATTGCTCAACATACCCGTTGCGCGACGAGTTTTCTCCTACTTATGACAAAGAATATACTTTTCATAGACCGGACTATAAAGTTCTTCACTATTAGCGGTAGCGTTTTCCGTCACGTTGAACACAGATTGAGCTGGCGGCCATGCACAAGACCAGAAATCCGCAGCTTATGCGATACACGAAAAGTCCCTAATGAAATTAGACATCCCGGTCCTTCGTGCGACGCTGTTGCAAGGCGGAGCACATGAATTCGTTTTTCTAACGCGCTCACTTTTTTCGTTAAAACGGCTTCACGCATCAAGGCCGACAGTCCCTGCTACCGCTTCCGCGTCGCCGCCGCCGCTGCCGTCCCCGCTCCTCTGGTTCTCCGTTCGTCCGAGGGAGGGCGAGCGGCGCGCTGGAGTTGCGAATAGGGGGCTGGATGGCGCTTAGCTGCAGTTCGAGCCTTGCGCAAGTGAAGCCACCAGACCTTCGATGCTTGTTCCGGAGGTCGGGCTTGCGCTGGGCTTCCTAGTGCATTCAGTGGATATTTTGGCCCATGCTTTTTTGTGTCTTTGAATGGGTTTTAATACTCCCGTCCTGGATTAAATCCTGAGAATAAGGCTTTTGAACGTTGTACATACGCGCCCTTGATAAACTAGAATTTCACAATTTTGTCATTGACTGGCTTCCCAGGAGATTTCTCGGGTCCTCATGCACTGTTACTCTGCAACAGCAGGCTCTCTTGGGATGACAAGAAAAAAACCCAGCGCCCTGAACACTGTTTGAACCAGCACTCGGAAGAGTTGAAAAGCCTGTCAATCGCTAACTTTCGGGACAAGCGGTTTACTTCCGGTGGCTTCATAGCTGTATGCTCAATGCGCCATCCAGACCCCTATAGTAGAGATTTGTGGATAGGCTCTCCGTGTTTTCGTCATTCCGTTGTGTGGCGTGCGCTCGCTGTTGACGTTGTACAGACGCCTCTAGCTTTTTTTTTGGTATGTCGTACTTTCTGCCAACGTATGTCGTATGTTACGCTCGTCGATTTGAGCTCACTACCCGAGCCTGAACGGCGGCGGTATCGAGACAAAGTGTGCGTGGATGGCGTTACCTTCGACGATCCGTACGCCGTAAACAATGCGTGCTGGAGCTCCGACATGAAGTCGCTGCCACCGACGTTGATGGCTCACGTAGTCGTTTATATCGTTTTTTCGCCAAGCCAGTTCACGGCCGATCAGGCGCAGGCGTACAAGTCTCTCGAGGCCTACGTTCACTTCGAGCCGATTCCCGCGCTGCGGGCGGGATCAGCAGAATGTGGGTCGGCCGAAGTGCTATTATTAATTGATTAAATGCACACAGCGTCCTTCAGTAAAGGCATGATATTTCTCTTACCCTCATGACCACAATGCAGGACAAAAAATAAGGCTTTGTCGGTTCTACCGCCGATCTCCTTCCGCTTGGTTGCACGGGCGTAGCGAGTCACCGACGCGTTCTTGGCCGGTTCTTTGTGCGCGAATACCGTCGGAACAAAATCTGGGTGCTCTCAATCAGACGACGTTTCCTCAGAGCATAAGTAAGCCTCGGGACGGAGATCGAAATGGAAGCTACACTTGCCTTCAAGAGAGTGCTTCCCGCATGAACGATATCATTGGAGGCATGGTGGGCTCAGAGCGGCAACTTTACCAGAAGAAACGTACCCCAATCTCCACGCTATACTGCCATCCACCGAGCGCCATGGACACAACAGGAAATGGAAGGCAGAGTCAGAAGACCTTAAGGCAAAGTTTGAGCTCTTCGCAACGGCAACCTACTTGGACCAGCACCCCAAAAAGGTGCAATCAATAACGTTTCTCATAGGCATTGAAGAGGACGCCGGCAAGACGTACAACACGTTACATTTAGAACGATGTCGAAAAAAAGCGACGTCGATGTACTAAAGTGAAAGTTGGAAATGATTCAACATGCGAGCGCTCAACCTAACGTTTCATAGGTTCTTTTTCGGAAAGGTGGACCAAAAAGCAAAGGAAACATTAATGAGAGGTAAACCTGGCTTTGAATTTGGTGAGAGGAAAAAGGCATTCTCAAAAGCATAATGAATCTCTAAAAATACTTCTTAAGCCAAAAACGTGGAAATCTGCCGTGCAAGAGAACGTGGTAAAGAGCAATGTGAAGAAATACAGTCCCTCATGAAAGGTCACGCGGAAGTCAGTACACTATTCCAAGTCGAACGACGGTGGTGGGTAAACGTAAACGAGTTCACAAGGTCAGTGAAACGTGTTCCGCAATGAGACACGCCTACAAGAAATGCGGAAAACAGAATCATTTTTACGGAACTTTTAAGGAAAAAATTCAAAATGTTGCGTCACTCAAGGCTCAGGCAGATGATTTCCTAATAAAAAGAATTATATAAACAAAAATGACCCCATCTCCACGTGGTGAATGATGTTGATTGGGGCGAAGCTCTGGTGGTGCTGATGATACTGATTTTGTTCATAGGTAGTGCTGATGGTGGTGATTGTTTTTTTATTCCTCATAGGTAGTGCTGAGTTGCGGGTTGAGTTTCGACTTCATTATTACTGCTTTACGGCCGGTGAAATGCAGAGCCAGTGGTTCTTCTAGCAAATGAGCTTGGATCCGCTAGAAGCCGTGAGAACGCACCTCCACCGCTTAAGTCAACGGTCCATGTCAGAAAGAGAATGTGTGGTATGGAACGTGGTTATATACGCATTTGCGCATTTGACCGCAGCGCCCTCTCGTTTATAAACGCTGAGCCAATGCATTCAAAGTTTAACGCGATTATTTATGCATTTGACCGCAGCGCCCTCTCCCGTATAGACGTTGAGCGGCTACATGCAACCTTTCATCCATGACATCCCCAGCTCATGAGTTACTACCACATCTCGGCCACGACTCGTTCGGCAGTCGTGGCCGAGTGATTAAGGCGACGGACTAGAAATCCATTGGGGTCTCCCCGCACAGGTTCGAATCTTGTCGACTGCGTAAACGTTTTTTTTTTTTTTTTAAGAAGACAGATGGGATGGCAATCGGTGTGAGCACGGACGCCGGACAAGGCTAGACTCTAAGGAGCTTCGCCTCTAAAAAAGAGTTGGATCGCTGGACGGCAACCGCGAAGGGAGGGGGAACGTCCGTTGTTTGCAAGCTCCTCAGAACTACCCACATCTCCGCGTCATAAAACAGTCGTTTTCAGCATGTTTTGCTTTTTATTTTATTTTTGCTTTCAGATGAAAAGAATTTAGCGTATTCGTGATCAGGTCTGGTAGACTGTGCTTGGGGAGAATTGCGGACCATTCATGAAAACATCGGCACCACCAGTGAGGGCTCGAGCCACTGGGAAAATGTTTTCAGTGATCCTGCGACCCGCAAGAAATCAACTACGCCGTGGCCCATCAAAAAGTAGATCGTGAGTCGCCGATACAATGAGCGTTGGTGACGCTTGCCTTCCTGTGATATGTGAACTTTCTGAGAAAGACAGTGTCGTAATCAAATCAAAGTTGCTTCGGCGCTAGCTTGACCTTTATTTGCTAACGAATATTTCCCCAGAAGTTAACTTGTAGAGAGTGGGAAAAACGGCCCATTATAAGTAACAATGAGCTGCATTATGGAGTACTATCTACTGCTGAAAATATGTATTAAAGATTGCGTTATGACAACCGTCTCTCAGTTCCTGCGGGTAGACTTATCCTGGACCTTTCGACAGCCTAATGCAGTCTGGCCGCTCTACAACGGAAACCTGTATATTGGCATCTAACTGGTTTGCAATGAAGCTCTTGAATTTGAACTTTAGATAGAGGCTGTCGCATGAACTCGGACGACTTCGGTGTTGAACTGCGCGTGGCTGCCTAATTTGAGCTCATGTGGGACGATTGAATTCTAACTCGGAGTATTTGGGTACTCGAAGTGCGCGTTACACCGAAGGTGGTTTTATTTCGTATACTTGGAGTAACTATAAAAATGCCTAAATTGCACTCACCTTGAATGTCGAAACGTCGAAAACAAAAACAACATTTGCTTTTATTAAGTGAGGATTTGGGAAGGGAGGTGCGAAGAATGTCAACTTAAACCTCATCTCAGGAAAGCCAGTAAGGATAGCCGTGCTGACGAAGGCAGAGTAGGGGAATGCTGGGCTATGATTCAAGCAAAGACGCGAAGCGGATGAGTGGTAACAAGGAACCGGAGATGAGTGGGAAGCAGAAGCTGGCAGAGCGAGAAAGAAGCGGCAGGGGAGCGTACGCCTCAAATCAGAGACGAGGTGCTTTGACCTAGAGTTGAAACGGGCAGAAGAGAACAAGCACGCTGGTAGGAGGGTTTAGAACTAGCGCGGTCAAGACTTTCAAAATTATAGAACTCGCGCATCTTTTCAGGGTTGAGGGAGATAAAAGAATATTCTTAATTTACTTTCGGCGGACGACTAGCAAAATCGGATGTCCTAACGGGACGTGGACGCAGCATCTACTCACGTTGTTATCATGCGAGGCAGTTGGCGTAGTCGCTAGATTGAGCGAGAAGTATGCCGCGAACTACGACTTGGTCAACCTCATCTTCCCGAATAAGTATCGGTTGTCAGTGAATGTATATGGAAGAGCTTCCGTAGTGCCTCGAAAAAGACTGAAGAGTCCCTTGGGCCTTGACAGGGTTCGCCTGCGGCTCGAAGTTCTAAAACATGACTAAAAATATATAACACATCGGATATCGCAAGTCATTTATATTATGCTACTTTTCCCAACCCACCTTCAGACGCGTGTTATCCATCTTGCGTTCTCATGATGGAAGAATAATATAGACGACACTCATGGATTGACAGTCGGTTTATTTTTAAAAAAACCGCAGGGCGTCTTCCACAGTTCTCGCAGATTCCGCCATTACTGCTCGCAGTCTCGCTGACAGTCAGCCAGAGTGGCGAACCTCTGGCAGTCGTGAGGCCCGGTCATTGACGGGGTGGTCACACAGCGACCCGTTCCCGGGTTGTAGCGGGCCGTGGTCGTCACTGTGTGGCTTGGGTCCGGGTTGCCAGGATTGGTGCAAGCTGGACACAATAGAAATAAGTGGGCCTCCCCGCGTTCGGCACGGCACTAATTTTTTAGTATACTCCGCCGGACTGCTGCAAGGTGTCTACTGGTGCCATACATGCAAGTTAACGTAGGTCGTTACTGAAAGTACAAACGTAAGTCCGAAAAAATGACATATTTGATGTGTTGTCCTTCCTTGCGTTAATACTTTCACTAACGGGAAAAGGGTCAATCACATGGGCGGATTCTTCACGCGCTTCATCGGCGTACGCGTCTCCCCGCGTCAGGACACACCTGATGAAAGGGCGACCAACGAATCAGGAAGACTATACCTGCGCTATGTCCCCGCTCCCGAGCGACATAACAACAGCGAATTCACGCTGTGTCCACTAGCGTGCGTCAGAAGCACCGTCAGCGCGTCTAACTGCGTCACGACACGAGCCCGACGCTAGCATGTCGCGACGTCAAGACGGATGGGTCTGCCAATTTGCGGTGTCTTTATTCGAGCTTCAACGTGTTTGCCACTTTGGGTGGGTCGGGGATCGAGTATTGATGACATAATAACCAGGTCTTGTCCTCTTGACGCTATTGGACAAACACCATGGGGACATGCACCGGCTCACGTCGGTCTGGTGCTACGCAGTGTCACCAGATCGACTGGACCTAAAACGACGGACAACCACCAAGTTACAGTGCAATGGTACTAAACACAGAAGGTTATTTAGAGCTCAAAGACTTTTCGTTTTAAGTTTGTTTTACAGAAATGTAAGTGTCAGTACCGAAATAGCCGTATAGACCTTGCTGCGTCACCTGCACGGGTATTGACTGGAACGTTGGAGAGTGTGCGACCGGCCTCTCTTCCTCCTCGCGCCACTCTGATTGCTCTATGACTGGGAAACCACTTGCGGCGTCAACGTCGAGATATGGACGAGCCCAGCGTCGGTCAAAACGGACATCGCAGCCTCACGCGATGCTGACATTGCCGCGGGTGACCTCGAAAAAAGGCTTGTGGCGTTTTGGTCCTGGGCCAGGACTCCTGGGCCATGGGCCCATTGAGGAAAATTATTGAAGTCCGGGATAATTAAGTTGTTAATTATTTTTGCGTCATTAACTTTTTAATATTGTGTTTAAGGGCATCGTTTAAATTAGAAAATTGCTCAGCATCATCGAAAACACTAAATCAACAAATTGCTGAACGATAGAAGGCACGCGAAGCATTTTATGGCTTTCTGAAAAGCCGCACAAAATCGACGGGTTTTTAAGTTTCGGTTTGCTATCAGAGCGCATCTCAGCCCCGGCGGCACCGCGCCCCGTGGAGAGATAGTGCAACCGGCCTCTGCTGCGTCGCGCGATGACAGCGCAGCATGACAGCATGACTATGACTATCATGTTGTTATTTCAGAAAATAATTATTAAGTTAAAGTTGTCAAGGGCTTCTAATTTTTTTTTTAAAACTCACGCAAAAATGTACGAGGGTGATATCGCATACTTATTATTATCATTATCAAGAAGTGGACGAGACCTTTTAGAATATTGTGATTCAAATCGTACATAAAAAAGTAGGTGTTTTTTACGACAAAACGTTATACTTTGAAAAGCACTCACAAACACAGATTTAAAAAAAAAAGCTCACTTTCACTTCCTAAATATAATATTGAGTGCAGTGTATAAAATTATCACCATTTCAACATTATTATTCGAGAATAAGAATTAGAAGCCCCTGGCAATATATACTAGCAATATATACTACGGACAAAAAAAGTCGACACCTACACTTAGGAATATCAAGTTTTCATGGAAGGCATGTTTTCGTGGTCCAAATTGTAATACGGAGGCATCTTCTTGTGAAAACAGTTACGTAATAAACTTGCCAAGTTTAACGCATCGGACATCAGCGCGGACAACCGAGTTAGCGAAGGTGATACTTGTGGTCTTCTTCTCCAATAGGCGCAGTGAGCAGACGAGCTCCGTCGGATGCAGATGACTCCGTCGTCTGTTCGCACTTTTATCAGGAGATGGCCCCGCAACTAGGACCGTCGCTATCTTTGCCGTCTCCGTAGACGTGCTAAATACAGATTTCGTAAAAACTTCAGACCTCTACGTGTAGGCGGCCATTTTTACACCCGATTTAATTGTCAGCATCGGTATACATGTTGCACAGATGTCACATTGCATACCTTTGACCACCATGCAAGAGGAGGAGAGGGAAACAGCTTTTGTAAGAAATTTGAGTCACGGGTGAATCGTCTATAACCTCCTGGGACGAGAATAGCGACGTATGTGCAAATCCTGGAGGCACAAAAGAGGATTTTAAAAAGAGGGGAACTCTCTCGTCTCATGTTGGTTTTAAAAGCGCACAAACAACGAGGACAGAGTAAGAAACACAAACGACGGACGAGCGCTCGTCCGTCGTTTGTGTTTCTTACTCTGTCCTCGTCTTTTGTGCGCTTTTAAAACCAACATGAATAACTACCAACTAGCCCAACTTTCCACCCTACTGCTCTCTCGTCTCTTCTTCTCTGGTAATGATCGGAGCGCTCTTTGAATGACGTCATGTGCAACTTATGTATACGATGTTCTCGCTTGTTCTACAGGCGAACAACGTTCCTGCACGGCATTAGAACATGAGCGACAAGAGGGTACCAGGATCATTACATACCTTGAGGGTAAGCACAAGTGTGCCGAGAGTTGGAACGATCCGCTTCTGAAATGAGGTAGGGGGACAAGCAAAATTACTTCGCTGCCCACAGAAATATCCTAACAGGAACACTTTCTTTAGCCTCCACATTTCTTTACCAGCGGTGGCATACTGCGTTATCCCAGATTTCCCACCTGTTGGTTCCGCACTCCTTTTGCGATTAAGATCTCTAAAACAAAAGTAAAAGAAAAAAAATATTAATGAAAAAACTGGACCAAAAATATTTTTTGTTGGCGGTTGCTGTCACTCTAATGCACGATCGCGTTTTTTTTCTATTGTGTTAGACAAAAAAACGTTAGGTCCTTTCAGAGCTTCAGCGATAAGCTTCAAATACTTGTAAAACGATACGTTGAGATACCCTTTTTATTTAGAATTGATTGTCACCGACTTCCCACAAATCAACGTTTTGTGAACAAGTTTCATGCGTATAAAAGATTTTACGTAAAAACATAAACTGAATTTTGAACGAACATGGAAATATATTGTTTGTAGCAGTAGTGGGGACGAAACGTTAACACATGCTGCACATAACTTTAAAAGCTAAAATTCAAAAATTTATTTTCAAATTTTAGGCGTTCATGTTTGATCCCAATCGCTCGTTTCAAAGTTTTCGTTTCTCATTTTATTTAGCCGATTTGCTTTCCTCAGCGTGACTTACGTCTCCTAAGTCATGTTAGCAAAACTTAATCCCTTTAATAAAAAAAAAAAAAAAAAAAAAAAAAAACGTAAAAATCAACCAGCGCGATCCAACGTGTATGCAGAAAACTAAAAAGTGTCAGCAAGATTTAGAACTCTCTGATTTCCTAAGTATAATTTTTTTTCTAGGTATTGCTCGGTTAGAACTTAAGCGTTAATATCTTTCGAGAACATTTAATAAATTTAGCACATTTAGTGGCTCTACTGAAGCGATATTCACAGAAACACGGATGCGTTGACCTGTTGGAAAGCTGAAGTCGAATCGAACAAACATAAACACGACTTTACGAATAAAAAAAGGTTTAGAATACAGATTTTGACTCGAATCAGATTACGAACGTTGAACAACTTTCAAATTCCGTTAGATGCCCAAGATCACTCTCCGCCTCGAGAAATGCGACTTGGCGGGGACTTGCATGTATTCGAGCTCAAACTCTAAGTATTACAGGTTGTAGAGTTTAGCGGACGTAAACCGATTAAATCACTGCCGTCAATATGACCGAGAATTACTTTTATCATACATAGAAATGGCGAGCCCCAATGTTGCTTCAAGCAGTTTTGAAAAGGAATAATACTGGCGATGGGGGTTAGCATTGAAAACGCGGCTTCCTGAGCTTCAGATGTGGTAACAGTGAGCTGAGACTATATTGTTTTGCTATGTCGTTTATTTATTTATATGTCATGGAGGAAAAAAAAATGTTTCCTCTAATTTCAGATAAAGCTTCTGATAACTGGTAACAATGAGTTTATGCGCCAAAATATCTTAAGTGTTGTTACTTCGGAGCTTTCATTATTCTTTGGCAACTAATCTAACCCAAGCTCGTTAATCGTTCAAAATGGTGATTAAGTGACGGTTAACCTCTCTCTTTCCACCACCCCCCTGACATGCGCTATCGTCCGATGAGCTCCTCCGATATCACCCGATCACCCGACGAATACGTACCCTGAGAGAAGGCGCAACAGATGTATATCGCCAACAGGTTTGCAAGTAAAAGGTTCATCCCCAAGGAACTCATCTGACTATCGGTAGTTTTTGTACATCTCATATATCAGTCTATTCATATCAGTCCCAACTAATGCACACAATGTACGCGCCAGAAGTACTTACGGCACCCCATGGCGAAGAGGAGAACCAGCAGGATCGCCACTTTGGAAACGTACGCAAACTTAGCTGCCATGTCGAGTTAGTTCGTTGTGTATACGACTCGCGATGATCTGGAAACGTGCTGAACATGTAGATAAAGGTACGCTTATATAATGAGTCCACAAGGCAATCGAGTATCAGTGTCCGTCTCTGTCAAAAATTTTGAACTATTAAAAAAGAAATAGTAATGTCCGCCACGTGCATGCAACAACACCCAGCAATTCTGACACAGGATGGAAAAGGTTTTGTTTTTATAATTGGCCAAATTATTCGGACAACAAGGGGGGAAACGGACGTGCTCAATCCTCCTTTTTTGAGCATTCGCCAAACAGTCGAAGCCAAGTGCCGTGCAGTGAGCCTATTACAGTGTCAAAGTCTGTCCTCAACTGGGACGGGAAATGGACGAAATAGAAAACAAATTATCTTCATCGTGTGTCACACAGTTTATCGCGTGGTTCCATCCTTCCCGTAAAAATTACCGGACGTTCGCATTTCGAGTTAGACAAATTATCTGAAAATGTGTTGTCGTCCCACTCAGAACGACACAGAGCGGAAATTGCGTGGTAGAGTAACCGTATAAAAGTCCGCTTATCAGCCTATTCAGCGTGTGTCCTTTTCATCAGTTCCCATAACGACAAGCTCGAGCGATATGGCAGCTAAGTTTGCGTACGCAACCAAGGCGGCATTTCTGCTAGTCCTTTGCCTCGCCGTTACATGCGGTGAGTATATACTTCGTCTCGAGTTCTGTGCACAGTCCCTAGAGCTAGCGACCTATAAGAATGCAGCATCAACCCGTACAAACCCCGATAAAAAGACTACTATAAAGAAAGAAGTGTGGTCAGCATAGGCCACACCTCTTGCCATTGCCATATACGGGGTCACCTCCAGCAGTGACTGGCAATGTTGGAGCGTGTTAAAATAGGGAGAGTGCCATCATGGCTGATATTTTTATGAGTTCTTCGGTGTGGACTCACACTGCGAGGTATGTACCAGACGACGGCGCGGCCGCGTTCCACGTCTCTTGTTGCTCCTTATTTTGGATTTTATTTCCCTCAACGCGCATAAGTGAAACAATTACCGAGCAACTTTAGTGCTTCTATTCTATCTCTCTGCTATTGGCTAATTCTCATGCATTCTATTTTATGGCCATTTCGGTATACTCTAAAGAAAACAAACAAAAGGAAGTTTTCCTAACAGTAAGGCTAGCCTAAACAAGTCCTTTGCGCGAGTCGCATTTAATTGTTTGTCGCTGCACTGTAACCAGGCCTTAAGCGCGAAACACATGTACGACGAAACCGTCCGATCCGATGTCCGACCACGCAATACGACGGTCGGAGGCGAGAGTTTTCAACGCTCTCCGATGCTACGAAAACCCTTGCCCCCCAAGGTCATTCCGGCAGTCCACACGTCGGATCGGAAGGTTTCGTCGGACATGTGTTTCGCGCTTTACTCTAAAGCGCGAAACACATGTCCGACGAAACCTTCCGATCCGACGTGTGGACTGCCGGAATGACCTTGGGGGGGCAAGGGTTTTCGTAGCATCGGAGAGCGTTGAAAACTCTCGCCTCCGACCGTCGTATTGCGTGGTCGGACATCGGATCGGACGGTTTCGTCGTACATGTGTTTCGCGCTTGAAGGACAATCAGGCCCTAACCTACAAACGAACAAATAAAAAAAAAAAGAATAAGGACGCGCTCGTCAACAAGTAGGACATATCTTGTCCGAATTGTTGTCAGCAATTGTTTCTGACACCATTGCCTCACTATTGGCCGATATACCAAAGATGCATAAAACATGGCCGCCAGTCAAAACTTCAGGAGTAAACCATGTTGAATGCTAATACCTTACTTGACGAGTAACAAAAGTCAACGCGCACGAGGAATCGCATGTCGAAGCGAGGAGAAAACTGTATGCACTAACTCCCTTAAGCTAGTCCGCTACACTTTGCAGCGTCACGGAGTTCCTTTTAATATGGAATTTTATCAAGTCGTTTTTGGAGCACAAGGTTTCAAAATCATGCCCGGTGAAGCTGCTCCACTTCGTGAAAACGTATTTTAAATGTAAAACGTTTTAGCCGAATCGCAATACCAACGCAACCGTTTAAACCAGGGGTGGCCAGGGTGACCCGGCCTTAGAGCCGCAAACAAACACACGAAACATCCAAGAGTCGCCGGGGGGGGGGGGGGGGGGAGCAAAGTTTTATCCCGAGCAATAAACGAAACTTGAACTACCTTCAATATATTGGAATCAAAGGCACTCCAACTGTATGTAAGGTAACAGTAGCACAAGACTACCAAACCGCAACCTGTATTTCGATTTAAAACGCGTTTTATTTCTCTTTTGGGGGAGGTGCTCGTGTGACCAAGACGGAGGTGGGGAAGTGAGTGTGTGTGTGGGGGGGGGGGGGGGGGGGGAGGTAGGGAAGAGCGCCGCGAGGCACACTTTAACACGCGGAGAGCCGCATGCGGCTCGCGACCCGCAGCGTGGCCACCCCTGGTTTAAACAGTGAAATGACGATTGCGTTCGACCGTCAGCGTCATCTCGTAGTAAACATTTGAAACGTTCCGCAGGGTGCAGATATATATGGCTCGGGTTTGACAGCGCACAATGTTGTAAGCTAGACGGTCGAGTAAACATTTACCGGGAGGAATGTCAAGAACTCTGACATGTGTCGCAATGACCACAAAGGTAGCTGATTCGTCTCTGTACTCTTGAACCTTAACGATAGTTCACGTCGTGTACCGTAGAAATTAGTCTGCTCGCGGTCTCCACGGCGGCTCCTTAGCCCTGATCACGAAAATGTAATCACACGCGTAGTTTACAGCATTCACGATCGCTTGCCATTGTGATCGGAGTCATTTGGTTCGACATCTCAGACGAAGTTGATGTAACAAGATGGCAAATGGCCTCTCGCTGTGGTTAGCCTAGCTCTAGGCTGGGCAGGCGGAGGGGGCCGACTTTTGCATTTCTCCCGAGTCGTCAATGGTGGTTGTTGCGTTGCGGTGACGACTCCAGAAGTTGCAGTGGGAGAGACGAAGGAGAAACGTATCTCGGATCCCCCGACGACTCGCGCGCGCATGGACATTGTTGTCGGGATGAAATATATGAGTAAAAACGACTCCCTAAAACTTCCCAATAAACTGTGCACGTGTAGAGAACACAAAGTGCTCCTTTCATCTACGAACTCTGATGACATGGCGTCCTAAAAACCTCCGTCTGCTAACATGTGACGACTAACAAATATAGGCACGTTTTTGGTGATTACTAATAAAAAAATAACCGAGTGGTCCACTTTCCTATCTTGATTTCAGATGCTAAGCTGCGTGACGGTGCTCAACACACGTGCGCCTATCCCCAAGGTGCGTGACTCTGTTCTTCTTCAACTCCGGTTTTATGGTGCTGTGCAGCCATTGTGCTTGCGTGGAACAAGCAGGGTGGTTTTATTTTGGAATTCTTACTTGGACCACTAATCCGATATACCAGGGACAAAACTGGTATTATTCTCATCATTGACCTCAGCTAGAAGGGGTACTCATCTCGCACCGAAATATTGATATTTTATTACCCAGGGATGACAGGTATGTTACAATTTATATTGGCCCTCTAAAAACCAAAACACAATATCTCAGGTCTTGAGTCTGATTCAAACGATTCCGAAAAAACGTGTTTTCTTTTCATTTCTTGTATTGCTGTAGTTTGTTTACCTGCAAATCTGCATAGCGACCAAGCGCATCTCGATGAAGGCGCTGAACGACGCAAAAAGTGATCTGCAAAGTTTGTCACTAAGTTTTGGTTACCCACAAAAAACAGCAGATGAATCTGTGCGCAAGTTGCTCCGCTTTCTCTGAAAACACATTGTGAATGTCTGATGGGCGTACCAAAAGATAGCTTGCACTGATGTCACGGCACCTGGCATTGTGGTGGCGTGCTGCTGAGTGTTTACATTTTGCTGCATACATCTTGCACCAGTTAATGTTTTAATGCGAGCATTTTAACAGGTTCATGGAGCGAGGCCGACGTTGTCTGTTGCCGTTGTCTGCAATCCTCTGTAGCAGAAAAACGGCACCTAAATTCTCTTTTTTGAATAAAACACAAAGGAAGGAACCGCATCTCACATGCTTTGTCACGGACGCCGGCGGTGCGCTCAAGATTAAGGCGGACGCGCCTCAGAAATAAAACACAAAGAAAAGCACAGCAGACACACCTAAAACAGCGCACAGGCACAGGAGGAAGAAAATAAATATGGGGGGATCGGTGGCCGAGTGGTCTAGCGCACACCAGCTCGGAGCACGTGGAGCGAAAGCTCGCGCTGCAGAACCCAGGGATCCTGGGTTCGAGCCCCACCCCTGCCCGTTTCGATCTGGATGAGCATCGTACCGGCGTGCGGTCGTTTATCACTACTGCGTGATGCACGTTAAAGACCCCAGGGTAGCGGCTGTACCGCACTGGCTAAATTTCTCATCTATAGCTGGGAGACTCGTCGCCCCTCTGAGGCAGACCAAGTTCTAGGCTGTATAAACACACATACAACCCAATTTTTTGGAAGAAAATAAAAGACATGGAAGAGCGCTGATTGCCAACTTATGTATTGTGAAAGAAAGAGAAAGAGGAAGCTTTAGAGATGAAACCCACGCGCACCCACAAGGTAAAAAGAAGAAACAAGAAAAACGGATACATTACTAAGTTCAGGTCTGAAACTTCCTCTTTCCCTTTCTCTCACAATTCATAAATTAGGAACTTATGAATTAGTTAGAAAAAGTTAGAAACACGCGCTTGGCGGCCAAAATGTCTGGGTATGACAGAAGGCTGGTAGGATGTTTTTTGTGTTTTCTCGCGTTTACTTACAACTTCGGGGAAAATAAATGTGATAATCGGATTCGGATTCGATGGCTCGTAACAGCCTTGTAGTCCATGGTAAGGTGCATCGGAGTCTACCGGGCGATCGGTGTCCAGGTGCCTGAGCTTCTATGTGACACGCGACTCCTGGCTGTACATTGCCGCTCTTGTCTTCACGGATCGAGGATCCGCCTTGGCTTTCTAGAACAACAGAACAAGCACCCCCAAGAAGCGCGTCGGTTTTTGTTTTTATTTTGGGGACCATGTTACTTTCCTCTTTCCTTGCGAAGCACTGTTTAGCAGAAAGAAAGCAAAAAAACAAAAACTTGAATATTGCCTCCTAGTATAGCCAGCTTGCTCCTCCGAACCGACTTCCCGACGCCAAGGACAGGGCGGGCGTATACGCGCAAAATAATTTATTTGTTTACTCGTTCCTGACTTGTTTCTACATTGTTGCCGTGTATTTAGGTAACACCGGGCCGCTGACGTTATCCATCGCCACGCGCAAAAACAGGCGCAGCTCAGATATCATTACGCCGAACCGTTTCCTGATGAACCGGTATTCGCCACTTGAGATCGTGCTGTCGTTCCGGTTTGGGTTCAGTGTCAAATGTTCCTTTACACATTTGGTTTTGATCCGGTTCAAATAGAAATAACGTTTTCTTGTCGATTTTCAGTTTGGGTTTGTGTTTGTTTAGCCACCGCTCTTTTCTTTTTCTTTTTTGGTATATACCCAACACCCGAAGCATCACTTATCCCCCCTGTGTTTTACTACCCACAGCTTGCACCAATCCTGGCAACCCGGACCCAGGCCATACAGTGACGACCACAGCCCGCTACAACCCGGGAACGGGGCGATGTGTGACCACCCCGTCGGTGACCGGTCCACACGACTGCCAGAGGTTCGCCACTTTGGCAGACTGCCAGCGGGAATGCGGGCAGTAATGGTGGAGACTTCGAGAACCGCCCAAGACGCCCTGCGGTTGTGGAAAAAATAAACCGACCCTCAATCCACGAGTGTCGTTCATAATATTTTTCCATCTTGACAACAGCGGATGGCGAACGCTGGTCTAAAGGTTCGAACGGAAATGCAGCAAACTAAAAATGATGTACGGTCTCCGCAGTGTTATCAATGTGAATGTATGGAATGCAGTGTAAAAAAGACAACAAAATTAATTTCGAGCCGAGATAAATTGGGATTTTGCTAATCGCGTATTGTTTAATGAGACAAAAAATCGAAATACATTTACAACTTCCTGCAACGCCGATTTAGAGGGAAGCTCTTGAGGAGGAGGAGGTGAGGGTACTGATGGGAGTGTATGCCCCTCCTCCACAACCGTACCCTCTCCTCCTCCCGTCCTCGCGACGTTTCGGCGCGGTGCATTATGGGACGTTTCCCATAATGCACCACGCGGCTACCGGCCGCACACCACCACCACCGCACAGCGAAATATTCGAGCACGCTACGCCGCCGTCACCGTGGCTGCCGAGGAGGCACCCCACACCGCAGTGCTCTCCGGGGCGGCGCGGAACTAACGACCCCTGGTTCTAGGCTAGCACCGAACACGACCTGGTCGCTCGCTCCTCGCGGGAAGAGCGGCCAAAGTCATCACCTAAATGTGTTTTTTCCACCGGTGCAGCAGTAACTGTTCTTAGGCCAAGGCCTAAAACATATATTATCTTGCAAGCACATTCGTGAACGCCTTATTTTGGTCATTCGAATCTTTTATATGGAGAAGGCAAGTGCATGCTGCGCGTAGTCTGACATTCCCGGCATTCTCATTAATGCTTGTATAATTGAGCAACAGGCCAAGGATTGCTGTGATGGTACTTAATATAACTTGCGAATGACGAGTTTCCTGGCGTGCTTAGAAAGCACAGTGGAAGCTTGGAGTCATCACGTCCGGTGGCCAAGCATGTCACGACCAGATCACTTCTCATTTCGCTTTTGAGTTGAGGGTTAAAGGGGCCGTCCAAAAATATTCAACTGGAATGTTTTTCACTTTACAAGAGCTTACTGTTACTAGTGCGGCTCAAGGAAACTCGCACGCAACTCCTCTGGCAAAGAAGCTCCTTTGTTGCTGTGTAATGTCAAGAGACAAACGCGAGCGTTTTATTTCAATTTCTCGTTCGCAAAACTTGATGACGTAGCTGGGCGGTCGCAGCACCGCCCAGTGACGACATTCGAATTCCGCTCATAGATTGGACCCGAGTATTGTGTGGGCATTCGATTAGAACTCGTGAGAATCGATAGCTCGTGGAGCATTCGGGTAGTGGTCCGTGTCCGATCGCTGCAATGACGACAATAGCAGAACCATAACAATGTCTAGAATTCAGCGCGTCTCCTGTGCTTTTCCAACCCCAGCGCGTGGCTATGATCAACATTGGCGGCATATAAGGGGCTCCAAATCACGTGGCTGCTTGCTCTGCCGACGAGTTGACGGGGTGAACGCTGCTCGTTTTTTGTTATTTTTTTTTTTTTGTGAACTCCAGTGCGTGTGGTGAAAAATGAAGGGGTGTTTCACAGGTCATTAGAAGTCAGAGATCTGTTCTAAGCGTTGTTTGCGCAAAGTGCAGACGTCCTTGCACCGGCCCTTTAAAGTGACTCTGCAACGAAATCCTAGGGCCTATTTCATTGTTTAAATGTCAATCACGTTCTGGCCACGCCACGAAGACACCATTTTTATCGAAAGGACACGAAGCATTATTTATAATGAATAAACCGAATGTTCTTACGTCACTCTGACCTTAAAAGCACATAGAGTTACAATAATGAACTCTAGAGGTCCAACTGGCGCTAGTGTGGTTTAGCGAATTGAAGCAGACAGCAACTTTCGCGACTTTTTATTAAAGGTCCCCAGTCCCGCATCGTCCCTGGGATGGCAGCTGTATGTCCCGAATTTAGTCCAGACCGTCCACCTAAATATTTGATATGCGATCCAATTCACGCCCAACAATGCGCGTCACGCTGCGCAGCACGAATCGCACGAAGCAATGCTGCCGTGGCTAGCGTTGGCTGTGACAGGCTTTAGCCACTTCAGCATGGAAGCCACGTCAAGCCAGAAATCGGGGCGACACTGGTGCCGGGCAGCTCCTGTTATCATCATGGGTTGCATAAACCCTATTGTGTCTGCCTTCTCCAACGAGGTAGTAAGCATTAGCGTGATAAACTGGCAGCTAAAAGTGACGTCATTTGGCCGCCGCTTGGTGAACATTTTTGACCACTACACACAAGACCTTATAGTTTTACGTCTATATTTTAACGAAGTATCGCACACAGATAATTGCTTATTGATCTTTAGTAACAGTACCGAAGAGATAAGTTATGTTTCACGTGTTTTATGTCCAAAATGTGCTTTTACGACAAAAACTCAGGCAGCTTCGAAATGGCTCCCCTAGATGCCGTCAGCCTCGGTGCTGAATTTGGGCTAAATGCAACATACCTCATAGAAGACTGACCAGGTATTTGGGATGTTCATCTCGGGGAGAAAAGGACGGACAGGTATGATGCACCTTCAAAAACAGCTTTATATTAACCACATTATCCTGTGGTTACTGTTAAAGGAACTGGTTTGTAAATACCCTCGTTATATAGAACATAGTTTTATTTGAGAAAATACATTTTTAAAAATGCAATAGCGAGCCGGTGAAAGCCTCAAGATCTTGTGGACCTGGATCGGCAGGTGGCGATACAAAAGAAAGACACAATGTAGTAAGGTAAGTTCTAAGAAAGTGGAAAAAGTTATTTGACTTTCAAAATTTACACGTTCTGGGAATCACAAGGAGGGCTAGAAAAAGAAAAGAAAAAAAATCTTTGATAACCATGAAAAAACAACGACAATAAAGCTTTACCTCACCGCCCTACATTCCGTAATGCCTTCCTGAGCTTTTGCCTCGAAGTTATGGATTGAAAGGATTCCGGTAGGCTGTAAAATATTTGCGGAACCTAATACACTCTCGTGCGCTCACAATAAGCGATGGCCTCATAAATCGCTGCGCAATGTAGGCTGTAATAGAACTAGAATGCCAGAAATGGTGAAGCACAACAGTTTCTCTAAAAAGACCCCAAAAAGATGGCAGACGGAGCTCTTGAATGCTTGGTAGAAGAGCGTGTTGGTTTAAGTCATGGATGAAGAAAGAATAAACAATTAAAACAGGGACAACACAACCACATCTGGTTGTGTTGTCCCTGTTTTAATTGTTTATTCTTTCTTCATTCATGAGCTCTTGAAATATACACGCGCTTGAGACATCTGGCCTGTCAAACGAAACACTTTTCAAAATATCTCTTAGCAAGGAGTCAATTCTCGCACGTCAGAAGAGGGAGCACCCCATAAAGATGGTAACACCGTATAGTAAATAGCTGTAAGCCAAAGCATGCGTTATCATTTTTCGCACAGAAAGAGGCCGAAACATTTTAATAATATACAGACAACATGCAAAGCTTCATTGCGAGCACCAGAAGAAATGACTGTCGAAATATATTCATAAGTATATGAAGCAATGTAGCGCCTGTGCATTTTTTTGCATAGTTTATAAATAGCTGTCTTGAAATGCCTTTACCGCGACTTTACCTCTGCTTGTTTAGACTATGTTTATTGATCTTCGGTTTCTAATATTTTTATGAACATATCTTGAAGGCTAACATTCAAACTGTTTGTATTACCGTGTCTGTTCGCTAATACCCGTGAAGAACCACATCATTGCATGTAGTGTTTGTAACGTTTTTGTATCAATTGTAGTATGTAGAGCGAAAATAAACAGTTGCCTGCTTAAAATAACTCTTGCGTGAAAAAATTACTTGTGTTGTCGTAAGTGGTGCGCGCGTCACAACAAAGCGAAGGCGCAACGCAAGCGGACGCGAAAAGCCAGTAAACAAAAGGCTATAGGGGCCGCCATTTTAAAAAAGAAAATATTAAAAACGAAATACAAAAAGTGGTTCTACAGTGGGAAAACTGCGAGGATAAACTGTAGGTTACACAACCAGGAGACGGCCATCTTAGCACAGTGCATGTAGCGCTGCTGGCACCTCTCCGTAACTTCGCTGTTCCTAGGGGCTTCGTTCGCTCGCTTGATAAAATTAGTAGTAAAAATGCCAATATAACCGAAATGTTCGGCACGTTTGGACTGGGAGACGGAATCACAGGCGGCCTTCGCTGTCGCTGAAGTTCAATCAACTGAACAACATTTATTAAAGCGCGCGCGCGACGAGCTCGAAAAACAAAATCCAAAGAACATAGGGCGGGAGGGCGGTACCTTTCTCTCGTCTGCCGGGAGAAGGAGAAAATTGTCTCGTTCTTCCCTTCTTCTCGTATCCACTTGGGGGCGCGTCAGGAGAAGGGAGGAAAACACGTCGTTTCTACGCTTTTCCTACATTTTTTTCATAGAGTGTTTGGGGCGGTCCACGACGACGGGAGCAATGGCGGTTTGGAGACGATGACAGACGACAGATGCACATCCCGGCGAAACCGAGGCTGAAACTACCCTTTGACAGTCTCCTCCTCACACAGTGCACCTAAACCGCTAAGGACGCTGCTATTTTGCGTATTGCCCATGGACTTAAAAGCACCACCGAAAACCCGTCAACGCGATTTCTCAGGCAGTGGGGTTTCCGGTAGATTGAATATTACAATTAATGAAAAACTTTCCGGCACAGCTAAGCACCACTTATGAGTTGTGAATGCGAAAGCATGAATGTCGTTCTTGCGCTCCCTTAGTTCGCCAGCAGCGTAGTGGCGTGGACGGCCACGTTTCGCAACTGCAGAGTTGGCGGCCGACGTCCGAGCGCGCGGTCTCGTGAAGTGGCCGCGCCACGCTGAGCTCGGCCGTGCAGCCTCTCCGGAGTTTGCCTGACTGGGCTGTGCGATCAGGCCAGCACCGCCACACCTCTTACATGCGGCCGGGCCGCTGCGTGCGCTGCGATTCGATGGAGGGGGCTTCTCGGGTGGCGTTCTTTTTTAACTACGCTGCG